TCACGCAGTTATGCTTTTTTTGGTGTTCAAGTAAATTACGTTTCACCGTAAACACTGATGAACATTGTTCGCAATTAAACATTTTAGAAATTTATAAGATAAAAGCGTAATAAATATAAAAAGATAAAGATGTTTAAAAATTAAACACTGCAAAAAAAAGAGAAAAACATGGAGTATAAATATCGTACAAACACAGATGAATACGCAGAATATGTGTGTACAACGAATACTCTGAACACACACTGACTGACCATAAGCATTTGTCAAGCCGAGTGTTTACCGATTTAATATATTTTTATTTTCGGAGATGTTATCACATTAGTAATTTCACTGTTGTAAGCATTATTTTTTATAAATTCATCACAATGTTATGACTACGTATAGACTATTCATCTTTTTATCAACATCATTTTTTATTCGAAATTATTAAGTTAGATTTCTAGGACAAATAAATCTTAACATATGTACAATTCCTATAATTTGCTATAAACATATTTTTATGAAATAAATAAACTTAATTAAATGTTTAATATTGAAAATGTACACATAACTAATTAAATTTACCATTAATATGTATAGATGAGTCATATTCATTAGACATATAAGGAAAACAATAATTTTAAAAAGTTGATTCCTATTTAAAAATCATATTTATAATTTATTCATTTTCTTTTTCTTAACAGTGTTTTTTAATTTTATATTTTTTAAATTGATATACAATGGTTCCATAAAACATACATTAATTCATTTTAATCATTAAATTTATAAATTATAAATAATCTAGGTTATATAATAGGTTAAATATAATATATACATAACTAGAACCAGGAATGATATGCATTTGATATTTCTTTTTATTTTCTTAAAAAATAGCTATATAAGACACAAATTTGAATCCGAGTTTAATGAGTCTTTATCCAAAATTTGATTTATATATTTTGAAAATTTTTAATTAATATACATATATTAGCTATTTTCTTCAATATAATGCATATATTGAAGAAATATTAGTATTTATTTAATATTATTTCCTAATTAAAGATATATTCATATAAAACATACTTTAAGTATGTTGACTTCAGGGCCACACAGTGGGAAGAATCATATTTTTACCGCGACAAAAATAAATTTGATAGTATTTAATGTGACAAACATTTTTTTTCTTATATATTCTTTAATTAACAAATTAGAGAGACAAATATTATAATAAAACATTAAACCATAATTATTGACTATAATATTATATAAATAATTAAAGTTGGTTTAACAACTTTGGAGAAAACATTTTTAAAACTATTAAAGAAGATCAAGATTGAAAAAAATAACTTATATACTAATATATCAAGTTTAAGTAATTATTAAAAAGAGTTATCATTTAAGGTTGATACCCAAAAGCATAAATTGTAAATGATGTATTATATTTTATAATAAAACTATAGTAAGGTATTCATTATTTAATCTTAATTTTTACAATAAAACTATTCTGAATCATACTCACTATTTTCTGTAGATATTTGAGAATCTTCTTTTGTTTCTTCATAATTTATAATTAATAAATTTTTTACTTCTGCAGTTAATTCTGTAGTAGGTGATTTTAGAATTTTTCTCTTAGAAGAAATCACTGGATCTGAACTTATTAATAACGCATGCATTAAATCGGTATTTGTACTTATTCTTGACATTTTGCGATTATTATTTTCCCTAAAATTTGAATTTTTTTTTTTTTTATTTTTTCGTTATTTTTGTCGATTTTTCTGCATTTTTAAAAAATATTCTTGCCACATTCCTTGTATTAGAAGTACCTTGACCTTGCAATGTTTGATTAATTTTTAACCCCATTTCATTCCAAAATGCATGTTGAATATTTTTCTTTCGCTGTATTAATTTGTCTTTTTGTTCATAAGTTGGTGAATATTTAATTTGTATGATATAGTTAAAATACATCTCAAAAAATTAATCCACGCGTGCAACGTTGTGAATTTCTGTATATTTTTTAAATCTTTCATATTTTTTGGTCCACAGTTACAAATAAAACATCTTTGACTGGAAGTATCAGTTAAATTATTTATCACCTCACTGTCTACCATAGTCATAACCAATGTATAATTGATAGGTACAGAAATATTATTTATCACAATTTCAATTGGGATTTGAAATGATTTTATTTCTTCTTCAATTGCTTTCACTTCTTCACGAGTATTATTTTTTGTTTCTTTTTTGTATAAAAATTTAATTGGTCTACAATAACGTGTCGAAGATGGTGTTTAATTTTTCCAAAGTATATCATTAGTGAAATCAGACGCTATAAAGGTCAACCGCAAAGGAACCAAAGAAAATAAAAACATATTTGCATCAATATATTCTATTTTTTGTTCATCAAATTCTTCTAAGTCATCATGATGATCACTATTTAAATTTTGATAATTTTGTATCAAGTGAATATTTTGGATAAATCCTTGATGGTATTCCGTTTGACCCGAACTACCATTACACTCCCATTTAAAAATAAACTCAGCCTTAACATATTTTTCGAAAAAATTAAAATTTTCAGTTTAATCAAAAATTTGAAAAATTTTTCTTACCGTGTGATCCAATAAATTCTAGAGAGGAATAAATGCACCATATTAATATATTTTTAAACCTTCGGGTTATATACAGTTTCTTCACTTCTCGTATGCGGTCATATGAAGGATACACATTGACTCCATGTTCTTTTAAACCTAATCGAGTTTGATGATAAACGTTTTTTGTCTTGCGACAATTTACCATATGAGCTAGAGCTTCATCTACAGTATATGGTGTTATATTTTTCCCCTTCAACGTTTCACGAAAAGATTTCCTAATATTTACAGGACGACTGGGAGAATATTCTGTTGACTGTTTTAATAAATCAGCTGCTGCATGTTTACCTTCTTTAAAAAGTGATACTCTCGTCGCCCGTAATAATCTTTCTGGCGATGTTGTGTCCACTAACGATTTTACTTTTCGTATTTTAGATCTTTCAGATACATCATAAAATAATTTTGATGGACGACTGCGCTTATCTACCGTTTTATTTTCATATTGTAACAAAATAAATTCGGTATCTAACCACCCCTCGTTTTTAGAAATAAATGTAGTTACAGTACGATTTACGATTGACCACTTGCGATTTAACGTAGTTACAAATCCTGAAATTTTATATTTCAATTCATTTTCATATTTCTCATCAATAGAATGATTTATTTTTATTGCCATATAAATATATAAAAATAAATGGGTATCCACAGAGCATGAATTTAATTGTCGTTAGAAATTTCTGAGGTCATCGAATAAATCACGGTATGTAATATTATCTACAAAAAAAAAAATCATAGAAATTAAATGGGCAAATTTGGGCAGACCATATTTTAGAATTTACTAAATAGTATGTTTACTATAATATTTTAATAAAAATCGCGGCTCTATTATGTGCTTTTTTTTCAGATCACTATAATTCTTAAATTATGATATATTTTTATTATTTTGTTATTAAAGTTTTAACAATTTATTGTTGATTGGAGAGTTAATTAAACTACTAATAATTATTACATACCTCGTTTAGAAGTTTCTATAGTACAAAGTAAATTATCAAAAAAAACAAAAAATAATATAACTTTCTATATTATTTATAACAAATATTTATTGTGAATGCGCGTACTGTCAAGAAAGTCGCTGTGAAATGAAAATATCGCGCTAATTGAACTTCTAATGCTATTGATAAAACGTAATAAAGATAAAATAAGCATTCAATACAAGATTGACAACTTATAATGAAGAATTTTGTACTGCATTTTTATCAAAATTTTGACAGTTCAAATTTTATTTTTGTCGCGGTAAAAGTATGATTCCTTCCACTGTGGGTCGGTTAGGTTTGGGTAGGGGAACACGGGGGAATGACACGCACTTAAGGAAAACCGATCCTGTGAGCTTCAAGTATGTCACACTGATTTTAAATAATCTCCATTATTTTTATTGATATCTTAGTAAAAGTTTTTTTGAATTATCGGGACTTAACTGTTTTTTGTTTTTTTAAAAAATAAAAAAAGAAAAAAACTTAAATGCTCATCATTACCCAAGGTACGGTATAATGATACGCACTATCATTTTTATTTTTGGGGTAATTATGCGCACAATTTTTATTATTGAATAATATATGAGGTGATCGTGCGCATTTAGTAATTTCTAATATTTTAATTAATAATTTAATTTAAATGTGTTGGTGTAGTGTTAAGAATTGCACAAATTATAAGTACGAATTATATATAATAAAAATACATTTTAATTATTAAACCAACAAATAAAACCTTTATTTTATCACAGTTACAGTCAATTGAATATACTTAGTTGACAAACTAAAATTAACAGTAGGTTGATAGTATGAACAATTAGAACTTAAAGGAATTGTAACATCTTTATATAATTTATATTATATATATATATTATTTAATATTTATTAACACAAAATAAAAAGTTTAAAATTAATAAAAATAAAACTTTAACAACTTGTTTTTATTAAATAACAATATTATTATATTAATAACTAAACACCTTAGATATGTGAATATATGTTTCAGTCTCTTTGTTACTATATACATATATATTTAAATACTACTATTATTTAAATTTAGAGTTTTAAATTACTTAACGCATTCTGTTTCTTGACAAAAGTAGCAAATGAATACCGCAGCAGAATCTAATCCTGTACATAACGCATGTGCCCAAAGTCCACATTGCCTACATCCAGGGGCGTATTTAAGGGGGGGGGCATGGGGCCCGTGCCCCTCCCATTCACCGTATTATATACTTTTTTTTATTATTGACTATTGAGAGTATATGTCTCTTTACGCTTTCTTAATTTTCACATATGGGCGTAGTGGGCGTATGGTGTTATACTGTTATATCATAATAGGATATCATGATAACAGATAGGATTAAGTTTGATGAATTTAAGAGGACAGGGCTATGATGGGGCTGCCAACATGTCTGGCAAATTTAAAGGCACTCAAGCTTATATTTTAAAACACCAACCTCTAGCTACATATGTACACTGCTATAGCCACTGTTTAAATTTAGTTTTAGTTAAGGCTTGTTCAGTACAACCAATACGAAATACAATTGGAATTGTCGAAGAAGTTACTAACTTTATAATGGATTCTCCAAAAAGAATTGAAATTTTTAAAAATGAAAATATAAAACACTGTCCAAATGTTAATTCAGATATATTATTAAAGCTACGTAAAACTAGATGGGTTGAACATCATGAAGCTTTTATACGTTTTAACCAAATGCTTCCTGCTATTGTATCATTTTTGGAATATATGATTGAAAATTCTGACGGACAAATTTTGACAAAAGTTAATGGATTATATAACTCAATATTAAGATTTGATTTTTTATTGACATTACAAATTATAATAAATACCATGAGTTGTACACTACCATTATCAAGAAAACTCCAGTCTCCAACTTTTGATATATCTGAGGCACAATCTTTAATACTATCTGCTTTAACTGTTTTGACAAATCAACGTAATGAAAATGACTTTAAAGATATTTTTAAAAAATCTGAAGATATGGCTAATAAATTTAACATTGAAGTTAATATATCAAGAATAGCAAATAAACAACGTAACTGCTTAAATATTTCTTCAGAATCTAACACACCCGAGAGTTATTATAGAATTTCTGTTTATTATCCATACTTAGATTCATTGTTAAGTGAAATTAAATACAGATTTGAAACAAAAAATACTAATATTTTAAACTTAAAAGGCTTCATACCTAAGTATTGTAACACTATTGAAGTTTCAAAAATGTTAGATGCAGCATTATTGTTTACAACTGATTTACCAGGTACTTTCGATGAATTAGAAGGAGAATTGAAAACCTGGCATGTAATATGGAAAGAAAAACCAGAAGATGAGCTTCCATCTACTGCATTGGAAACAATATTTTTACCTTTCATGGATTTTTATCCAAACATCAAAAGACTTTTATTAATATTTGCAACTATTCCTGTGACGACATGCACATCTGAAAGGTCATTTTCTTCCCTTAAGAGAATCAAAACCTACTTAAGATCAACTATGGGAGAAAATCGATTGAATGGATTAGCATTGCTTAATATACATCCAGAAATAATTCTAAACCCTTAAGAAGTAGTTGATATATATGCTAACAAACACCCTAGACGCCTACAGTTATTATAACTACACAAATTACTTTAAATAATATTGCTTTTTAATTTTTAACTATACATTTTTTTAATAAAATTTTATGTTTATATGAAACACGTGTATTTAGATTATTTTGTTATGAATGATGAAAAATATGAGATATTTTATAACTCTACATCCATGTACGCTAATTTGAACTTTTTGTTTGTGCCCCCCCCCCCCCCCCATAAGACATTTCTAAATACGCCCCTGCCTACATCTATACCATATTTCCTTGACTCCAAGTTCGCCACAAATAATACATAAGTTATCATCCTGAATATTTGCTTGCTCTTCATCCATACGACCAACTTGTCGTTTTCCAACACGTTTTGATCGATTTGATTGTTTTCCTTTTTTTAATTTTTTGGATATTTTTGCTTTAGAAATACACCAAACAAATCTTTTTTTACAGATTTATTTAAATCAATAGCTTCTTTTTTAATTTGTTTTTCCTCCAACTGAATTTTAATGGGTGTTTTTGTTAAAATTATTGATGTGCCTAGACGTGCATTAATTTTTTTAGATTTTGGTTTTGGTTGAGGAATTGGACAAATTTCAGAAATAGTTTTTCTATAAATGTTTGTAGATGTTGATGGTTGGTTGGTTTTGTATGTTAGAAACTTACGAAGAATCCGTTTAATGCAAGAGCTTATAAAAACAGAAGAAGCAGAGGACTCCATCGATATTTTTTTTAAAAGTATGGCGATTACAGTCAGTTTTCGCCAGAACTCAAAATAAAAGCAAAAATGATAAATTATTAAATCATAAATTATTACTCAAAGTAATAAAAATTTTGGATCTTCAGAATCTAAAATTTTTGGATCAAACTGGCAGTAGTTTCAATTATGTGTTTCCAGAAAATATAACTTTCGGCCTCAAGCATTAGTTTCAATAAATTATACCTCCTATTCAACACACTTCTCTGAACTTGATGGAAGTTCTTCAGAATCCAGATGGACAGAAAATTTTCGTAATAATTAATCATTAAAATTATTGGAGCAATATTAGCCTAGTTTTTATGTTTATGTTTCAACAGAAGTGTTTTTTATTTATTTATAAATTTGTTTTGTTTATTTTAAAAATGATATAGGTACTAGCTAAATGACAGTAATGTTATTATTTTTATTTTCATTGAGACAATGTTATGTTATTTTTATTAGTTATTTTCCTCAACTAAGTTATTTATACCTCAACTACTTAATTTATAGTTAACCTTGGTTAAAATTTGAAACTATTTTTAATTATGTTTCTTGGTTTCTTGTTACAGACTATTATTAATAATTAGTATTTAGAATCAATCAATGGTAACATTTTATAACAGTGATTAGCGAGAGTGCGAGACTATTATTCATAAACTCTCTATTTTTAGAACATATATTATATTTTAATACATTTAAAATTAATATTATAGCATTATTAGAGTTATAGAATTTGCTGATTTCGTTATTTTATATGAATAATTAAAACAATTATGTAAAAAGGTATAAAAGACGCGGATGAAAAATAATTATAGAATTATTGCTTATATGCTCAGAGTAATAAGAATATGATGGTAAAATATTTTTGTTATCTATCTTCTTTTTCTATTATATAAAAATAATTCCCTGGATCGCGATTGGTTACGATTCTTATTAAATCTCGCCGACCCTTTTCACTTTCGATCTTAAACGTTTCCCGTAAACTTTTATCCTGTCTTTCCATTTCAGTGGTCCGTTTGATTTTCCGACCGACCGTTTTCCCGATGCGACTGAATGAAAATCCGAGATTTCGACGATTAAGCACCAGCCAATCGAAGCGATCGGTACCTATTCCTCTCGCGCCGCCGTGACGTTTGCTCGCTCGTGACGTCACTTATCGGCGGTCGTCGGTCTACCTTATAGCGTGATTCACACTAGTACGACACGACACGACACGACACGACTAGTCACGGAACGACACGATACGACAGACAAAAATCATGTTCAATTCACACACGACCGACAAAAAACGATAGACACGCACTCAGTTGATTCCAATTTTCGTGTCGAATGGTCGGAAATTGTTCTCAACATGTTTCGAAATTTAAACTTTGAAGATTTGGCAGTGATGGCGTTATTGCTCGACGCCGACAAAGAGGAAATTGACCATGCGGTAGTCAAAAAACGATCTATATGGGTTCACGACATTTAAAAAAAAAAAAAAGTGGAAGGAGAATATGCAACTTTGTGTAAAGAGTTAGAAGACTATGAAAACAAATTTTTTAAATATTTTAGAATGTCAAAGTACCAATTTAACGTTCTACTTTTAAAAATTGAGAGTAATATTTCTAAACAAAATACACACTTTCGAGAAGCAATACCTCCAAAACAAAAATTAGCTGTTTGCACAATGGCACTTGACTCATTTTTTTCCTTCAGGTTTTCTTCATTTTTTTTCTCTAATATATACTTCATTAAAGTTGAAGATGCCGTTTCTGAAGGAGAAATTGATACCTTGCTTTTTTTTTTTGGCCATTGTGGCCAATGTATTTTTAATAATTGGTTGGCGAAATTCTTTTGGTGATGGTGTAGACGTGCATGGACTTAAATTATTAAAATAAGTATCATTACAGGAAGTATCAGTATCAAGTTCAGTGTTCTTTTCGGGTAAACATGTTTCATTATCCTCTTCAAACAGTTCTTCATCGTCATCACTCACTGTATCGATGTTACTCATGGACTCTCTTTCTTTTATATGTGATTTTAAAAACTGCAACTCATCTTCAAACTTCCATTTTTTTAAAATTTTGGACTTTTGTTCTGATTTGGTCACCGCATTTTTTTGAGCTCTTCTAAATGAGTTTCGCTAGTTTGTCCATGTTTTTTTGCAATCTTGTACTAAAGAAATATAATCTAATTAAAAAATTTGGATAAGTGGGTGTCGCTCTGCTGTACAATAGGTTACAAGTGAGCCATTTTAATGGATTGTGTTTAATTTTAATCCAATGATACAATATAATGTTATAAGAAAAACGATTCTGAGCGAAGATGGTTAGTCAGCCTATAGCCATACCTATGATATTACTAAGTACATTTTATGATATTAATTCAATGGTGGGCAAGTTAATGAAAATAATTAATAATAAATACCCTAATACCTATGTTTACTTAAAGTTTTTAATGATTAAATAATTTAGTTGATATAGTTTAGTTTACTAAATCTCTTACGTTAAATATAAGTACTTAGTACATACAAGAAGAGAAAAAATGTGGAACCAAAAAGTTAGTAAATACCTATATTGCTAGTTGGCAGATAATAAGGTTACTCAAATCATAATTTATTTTGAAGTTTATTTGATATTTTAAGAATATAATTTACTATGAAATGTTATTTGTAATCAAAACATTTTTAATAATTAAATTATAATATAATAATATACCATGTCTTAAGGATTTTTTTCAAGTAAAATTATTAGAAAAATATTTTGAATAAGTTACCTAACTATGATTATACCTATATTGTTTTATATTCTGAAAAAAGTGATATCTACACTTATTTAACTTAAAAGTAGTACTAAAAATATAGCCATATTCCAAATTCTGAATAGGATTATATATTGTTTGTAATAAAGTGTTTTACATACCGGGTTGATTTAATATAGCAGCGATTTCTCTCCAAATGGTTAATTAATCAAATAACATACATTAAAAAGTTAATTTATTTTTGACCATGAAAGGTCCAAAACAATTTTTGCATAGAGCTTTGTCACATTCTTTAAAAATTAAGTTAGATCTTTTTTTGATTTCTTTTGGTACTACAAAAACCACATTTACAATAATTTCCTACGATAGAAACATGTTTTCCTACATCTTGGAAAGCATTATTAGCTCTTGATTTTTTTTTTCCAAACTTAACATAAGGAAGATAACTCTTTCTTTTTCTGGTACAAAAATTGCCTATCAATTCATTAGTAGCCAACAATGATCTAAATTTAAGTTGTGACATTATATTTATTTTTTTTTAATCCTTTTTATAACATATATAACTATTTACTATGCAACAATCTAACATATAATAAAATATTTTCAATCACCACCTTCTTGGCTTTTAACTAATACTATATATACAGCCATAAGTTGATCAAATTAATCAACAACCCCCATAAAAGTATTGTAATCTTATATTATTTCATGTTTTTTCATATTGGTATCTGTATATAAATCAAATACGACAAATAATAATTCATTTTAAATAAAAAAGTAAAAATTATGTAAATGGCATTGAAAATTACTAAAATCTATAAGAACATTTTTACTCAAGTTAAAATATTTTCTTTGCCAAATCAATAATTAGAAGTCTTAAGACAAATTATAATTCTACATAACATACTCTAATTAAAAAATTACTTGTACGTATACATGGTGTGACTAAAATGTATTTAAAAACCTCTCAAACTTTACCTAACAAAAAAGATAAAAAAAAATTTTTTTTTATAGGCATATTTAAAGTTTTAGTAACAAAAAGTGATGTCATTATGCAATAAACAAGTTTAGTATGTAATTAAATAAAAAGTAACTTAGTGTTTGAAGTCTCCAAATCATTAATTCATGAATGTTCAAGATTTTTAGACAGAGATATCACATTGTGTGATATATTTAATGCTTTTAAAGCGCTCTGGTAAAATAATTTATCACGTTGATAAGTTTTCGCGGTTACCGATAACACAACATTGATTACGACGATCCGTGTACAGGCTAACCACTCATACAATATTAAACTACCCTTCATCTCAAGTGGTAAAATAATTTACCAAAAATTGTTAAGTAAAAAAATAAAAAACTTGGTGATGAATATATCTACCAGAGACCTATAAAGAGTTAAATGCTTAAGTTTTCCTCAACGATTCCAACTCGAAAGTTAGGTATTAGGCATAGGAGCGATAGGACTCCGTAGGTACAGTTTTCGATTCCAGCCCCGGC